GTGCCCTTAGCGGGAACCAAACCTGGGTCTCTCTGGACCACAGGCCGACGCTCTAACCACTGAGCAAAACTGGCCAGGGCTTTTAATTTTGTGTGTGTGTGTGTGTGTGTGTGTGTGTGTGTGTGGTACATGCCCCTAGTGGGAACCGAACCCAGGACTCTCTGGTCCGCAGGCTGATGCTCCAACCACTGAGCCAACCCAGCCAGGGCTCCACTAAGAGGTTAGTAAACCATGTAATGGAATTTTCATAGTTTCAAAGTATCTTCCTCAAGATAGTAACTACTCCACTACTTTATAGTAAAGAATCGGGGAGTAACCACTTAACCAAGTGATTAATGCTGTCATCACAGTAGTAATACATATTGGAGGTCACAAATCCTGTGACATGATGTTCTAAGAAGGACACAACATCATTTCTGTATAAATCTCACCAAAAATGTATACCTTAGTGCAATCGTGAGGAAACCCAAGACAACCCAAACTGAGGGGTATTTGAAGAAATAACTGATTTATTAATACTCTTCCAAACTGTTCAAGTCAAAAAAGACGAAGACTGAGGAACTATAACAGATTGCAGGACTAAGGAAAAATAACAACTAAATGGAATGCAGGGCTGTGCACAGAACCCTGGAACAGAAAAAGGGAATTAGTGGGACAACTGATAAGATTCAAATCAAGTCTTCAGTTAATTTCTAATTTTAATGTCCTGATTCTGATAATTATGCTATGATTACATAAAATGTCAATATTAGGGGAACCTAGGTAAGGGATATGTGAAAATTCTCTATTATTTCGGTAACTTTTCTGTAAGTCTAAAATTAGTTCAAAATTTTAAAAGCATTTAAGGGTATTGGAAAGTTTGGAAACTTGGTTTCCTTCTATTTCTCCACAGTCTAAGTTTAACTGAGATTGAGCAACTTATTGTCAGGCTGTTATCAAGTAACTTTGTTACCTTCCTTGTACTGGTACGTGATTTGAAACCTTACATTTCAAAAGACTCACTCTTCATGCTAATGTTGATTATTAAGAATAAGCCCTGGCCGGTTTGGCTCAGCGGTTGGAGCTTCCACCTGTGGCCCAGAGTCCTGGGTTCAGTTTCCACTAGGGGCACGTACCAAAAAGGAAAAAAAAAAAGAGTAAGTAGGGGTTATTCAACATTATACTGGAATTCCTGGCAGTGTATTAAAGCAAGAAAAGGAAATATAAGGTATAAGGATTATAAAAAAAGAAATAAAATTTATTATTCATAGTTTTTTTTAAAGTAGAGAATTGAGAAGTCTACAGATAAATTAATAGAATTAATAAGATTTTATCAAGATTACTGGATACAAGATCAGTATATAAAAATTATAGTCCTATATACCTGCAAAAAAACAAAGTGAAAAAAATGTTTTTAAGAAACAATTTACAAAAGAATAATAATTCTTTTGAATTATTATTTTATTTGAATTAAGCTCTATACTTTATCTTAGCCAAAAGGCCGAGAAACAATGAATCAAGTTCAATTTTACTTAATAATATTAATGAGGACCTAAATTAATGAAAGACAGCATACTCATGGATTAGAAGACTCAATATTAAAAATCTCAGTTCTCTCAAAATAAGTTTATAGATTCATTAGAATATCACTGTAAATTCTAACAGAACTTTTTAATAAAACATTATAAGCAGATTCTATAATGCATATAAGTGCAGAAAGCCAAGAACAGGCAAGTTCTTTTGAAGAACAACATGAGCAGATTTGTTTCTCCAGGTATCAAAACTTAACATAAAATTATAATAATTTTTAAGATAATATGCAGCAAAAGTAGAAAGAATAACTTTAATATATGCATATATTGAAATACACAGAAGGAAAATGAACAATTTCAAGCAACTCACCACAACATGGAAGACTCTTATATATATAATATTGAGTAAAAGAAGCAGAAATAAAAATGATACACAGTATACTCTATTAATATAAAGTTTAAAAGTAGGTTGAACTAAGCTATATTGTTAAGACATATGTACACTACTGGTAAATCTATAAAGAAAGCTAAGAAACTACTATCACAGAAGTCAAAATAATAAATACTTGTGTGGGGTGAAATGGAGTTTGATCAAAGACCTAGGTGATGGTAGGGTGGATGTTTGTTTTACAAATAGTTATTAAGCTCAACACTTATTTTAATGCACTTTCTATGTATATATTATATTTCACAATAAAAACGGGGATTACTAAATTAATTATCAAAATGATTACTAAATGAATTACTAAAAATGTAATTAAGACAGTATGATATTAGAGAAAGAGACAGGCCAATCGAACAGAAAAGAGTCACACACATACAAGCTGCATGATTTATATCAGATGTGTCACTATAGAAACAGACTTTTTAATAAATTATGAGAAAGAGTTGGATTTTTATATGAAAAAAATCCACAATTTTTAGACCTCTACTTCACACCATACACAAAAGTCTATTCCTAGTATATTAAAGACTTACATGTTAAAGGTAAAGCAATAAACATTTTTTGGAATAATATGGGAGAATATCTTTATGATCTTGAGATAGAAAATGATTTTTTCTTAAACAAGACACAAAAAGCACTAGCCTAAAAGGAAAAGACAAACTGAATTAATTAAAAGTTAAGAACTGATTATTCAAACACACCATGAAGATTGAAAGGCAAACCACAGAATGGAAGAGATATTTGTAACAATATACCCAAAAAATGACTTAATTTATAACATATGTATTCCTACAAATCTGTAAGGAAACAATGAGATTGATCCGCATTACTGGTAAGCAATGAAGTGAAAAATTGAAATTAATATGAGCTACACACTAACTCATACACACTAAAATTTTAAATCTGACAGGATCAAGGGCTAATACAGAGGGAGATCATGGGAACTGTCATACAATTCTGGTGGGAATGTAATGTACAATCATTTGGCAAACAGTTTGGCATTTTCTGGTCAATGCCCCCAGCAGTTGTGCTGCAGGGTATACAACCTCAAAGAACGTGCGCATCTATGCACCAGGAGGCCCGCGTATAAAAATATTCATAGCAGCATAGTTCATGATAGCCCCAGACTGGAAACAAAGGTAGGAGAGCATGCAAGCCTGGAGACAAAGAGAATCGGGAAATAGCTGCCGTGGATCCTGATGGCTTTTTAGTTCTGGTTCCAGTGTCTGATGAGGCCCAACTGCCCTTTGTATCTTTTAATAAATTTCCTATTTTGCTTAGGCTAATTTGAGCAGGTTTTCTGTTTCTTGTACTCAATAGAGGCTTGCTTATAAAAAAAAAGAATGTGGAAGAAGGACCTATAAATTACAAGAGACTTCAGAAATATGTCAATCAAAGTAAAGACTGTATTTGAGCCCTGATGTAAACACAAAGGTTGGGAGAAAAAAAAAAAAGCACAACATATAATAGCAAATGCTTTTTTTTAAAAGATTGCCCCAAACCCACTATGCTTCTGACTCAAGGTCTCTCGTGAGGTTCCAGTCAAGGTGTCAGTCATCTCAAGGTTCTACTGAGGCTGCAGGGTCAGTTTCCCCCGTGTGTTCGCTCTGTGGCCTCTCCACGGGCTGCTTGAGTGTCCTCACAACAGGGCAGTGGTAGGCCAACTACATGCGTGGGACCCAGTGCAAAATGAAAATGCAAAGCCTCTAGTTCAAAAATGATTTAGAATTTCAAGGTGATCAAAGTAGAGCATGAAGCTAAGTGTGGAGGCTTCCAAGTCCAGGGCTCTGTGTCATTACGTCGGTCACGCACCCTTGAAGCCAACTCTGGTGGCTGGTGACCTGAATGAAAGAGAGCGAGCGAGAGACAGAGCAACCGAGACAGACGCCACAGTCTTCTTGCAAACTAATCTCAAAAGTGATATCCTATTATTTGTGTTGTAGTCTATTTATGAGAAGCCACTTATAGTCCATCCCACACTTAAGGGGTGGGGATCACACAAGGGCATGAATACCAATTAGCCCGAGAGGCCCTTCACCACAGCAACACTCTATGGGATAAGCAGGGAAAAATGAACACTGACTGGACATTTGATCATGTTAAAGAACCATTAGTTCTTAAGTATGATGATGATATTGTAGTTGAATTAAAAGAGGGTCTTCTTTTCAAGATACATAGTGAAATATCTGCTGATGAAATTATTCCTGTCTTTGGATTTGCTTCAAAATAACATGGAGCGGGAGAGGCGTGGGGCATAGGAAAACAAGGCTGGCCACGAATTGACCATTGTTGAAATGGGTGATGGATACATGGGAGTTCATTATACTCTATATTGTATATAGTTGAACTTTTCAAAAAAAAAAAAAGCTTTGCTTGTTCAAGACAATAAGTCAGCTCCGTGGGTTCACTGATATGCTCTAAGCTGAGGCCCTTGGGGCAGGAGCTATGGGCTTGAGCCATCAAAGGATGACACCATACATGTTAATCCATTTCTTCCAAAACTTTCTAATTCTCATGGTGCTTTTTGGGAAAGAAAGTTAAGTGTTGAGGAAAAAGCTAAAGGAAGAGATGGGAGTGATTAGCATGGAAGAGAGACAACACATAGCAACCTGGAGTCAAGTCAGATAAGTGTGGTTTTTGCCTTGCTCTCCAGCTTTATCTTCAGTCCTGGACAATTATCAGGGCCTTCTTGTACTAGGCTGGGGGTGGGAGTGGGCTGCTGCTGAGCTGCTGGAAGTTGAGGTCTGATAGCTGTGATATTTGCATTCCGTGATAAGCATGAAGACCTCGCAGTGAAAGGTGTTTAAGCCTATGATTTCGAATTGAGGTGTAAAACCATGTGGTACAATAGGAAGAGAAGCTAGGAATCAAAGGAGATCAGAAAGGGGGCTCATTAAAGGTTGTACGCCAAGGGATGCTAATACCACACTCAGTCAGCGGTGTACATAGATCATTTTCATTTGAAATGTTCTTTACGGTTTTAATTTAAGGTGACTTTAAAAACCCAAGCTACCTTTTCTTACCTAAATTATCTTGCTTTTCAGTCTTGACGCTCAGTTTGCTGGCCAGGCAACTGATTCCTCCTCTCAATGTCTCATATGCAGCTTTCTGTTCTTCAGTAATATATGTAATTTTTGGATCATGCCATCAAATGTCCATTGGTGAGTTCGGTACTGGAACCACAGGAGGTGGATGAAGTCCCCCCCTCAATTATTTACTTATCGCTAAGGAACCCAGATTAAAGCTATGTTTAAGATAGAAAGCAAGGAGACAGAAGACGGATGCTCTAACCATAGAATTAATGTTTAGATTTCAGAAATGTAAAACTTCTAGTGTGTCATTATTAATGTCTCCACCAGGTAAACAGGCCAGAAAGCTGCTTCCCAAAGGAATGAAAGGAAAGCACTTTCCTTGATGAGATTACATTGGAATCTGACTGCCCTCAACCAGGAAGGACCCAGAAACGCTTTTGCCAATACTTTTAGCTGGATCCATCTTTCAGTGGGACCTATGATAGCCAAACTCCATGGGCCTGATTTATAATTATCATGTCAGCTTATTAACTTACAATGAGAAAATGCTGCCATGGTCATCCGAACACTCAAATCCATAGGAGGAGCACTTTTTTTTCGGAGTCAAAAGTCCATCTACTGTTTTATAATTAGAAGTGACTATTACAGGAACCAAACTAGTTAAAAGCCATATAAGCAGCACATTTACTTCACATTTTCTAGGTGAACCTGCATAGAAATCAGACCACAAAATGCCCCACCAGTCTTGGAAGGGCACTGCCAACCTTCACTCTGTGAAGCACCTTCTCCTGGGCTGCCCCACACAACCAGTGCTGGTAATTCTGATGGACGCACTCTCTCCAGATGTTGGTTCAGCCTGGGACCAACCCATTCTTCCAGCGGTGGAGTGCTACTCTGCCTTTTCAAAGGACAATAGCACATATTTTTACTAAAATCCAGTATGTATCAATTTTACATTTGAACATTAGAGAACAATTTTATTCCCATACTCCCAAGACACATCACGATTACTTCCAAATACTGACAATAAGAGTTCTGTGTCTGTCAGGTAATTTAAAAGTAAGGTTTGCCTTTGCTCCCCATTGTGAGTATGTCGCTTTGATGACCAAACGAAGTTATGTTTGAAACAGGTTTAGCTCAGCGTCATTTTGCACTTAGTAAATCCTTTGTAAGTGTTAGGTATTATTTTTCTTCTCATTGTTATTGTTTAGCTTTGTTTTCTGATACCTTTACCACCTCCAAGTGCGGGCACAGTGGCTGAACCCGATACGTATTTCCAGTCAATTCCTCTTTGCACCCAACTCTATATGCCCTTAATGAAAGAGGTTAAGCCCTGGCCACTAAGGTCTACTTTCTGTGACTTGGTCACAGTTTGGGGAGACAGAGTTCTTTTCCTGCTCTCTCTTACTCTCAGTGGCCACTCAAATAAGAAAAGTTCTTCAGATCAAGAACAAAACAATATAAAATCAGGCCTTGCCCTGGCCAGTTTGGCTCAGCGGTTGAGCGTCGGCCTGCAGACCAGAGAGTCCTGGGTTCAGCTCCTGCCAGGGGCACATACCACAAAAAATAATAATAATAATAATAAATACATACATAAATAAATAAAATAAAATCAGGCCTTGATTTTGTCAATATCTTCAGTATACCTGGACTTAAAACCTCACCTTCTGCCTGAACACCATCTTTCACAGGTTCCTTCTTTCTTGTGAGCGCTCTGATGATCAATGTCCTGAAGGTGTACCCGTTCAACAGTGGCCACCTGGTACTGGGAACTTTCGTCAAACAGGACTTTACTAACCCCTACTTCTTCACGGCCTATAACAGATCCCTGAGTGTGGTGGCATCCACGACATTTCTGACTGGGTTAATTCAGGTAGGACCTGGTCTCCAAACCTCTGAAGAAGAACTAAATAAAAGGGTACAAATAGACCCCTTCCTTTTCTTTTTTTTATTTTCTTGTTAATTCTAATCCAAGAATATTTTCCATTAATTTTTAGAGAGAGTGAAAGGGAAGAGGGGAGAAAAGAGAGAAGGGGGAAAGGGAGAAAGAGAGAGAGAGACATTGATGTGAGAGAGAAACATTGATTGGTTGCTTCCTGCACAACTCTGACCAGGGGGCAAGGATTGAACCTGCAACCCAGGTATGTGCCCTTGACCGGAATCAAACCTTCAACCCTTCGGTCATCCAAGGGCTGATGCTCTAACTGCCGAGCCAAACGAGCCAGGGCAACCCCTTCCTTTTCATTGCTCCTGTTATTCATTAAGATACTTCAGTGATTTATTTCTGGAAAACTTGGGGATGTGTGGATAGACTGTGACAAAACTTATTTCTTGTCAGAAATCATCCACCATTGTTTGTTTCTGTTTTAGTTATTATTACTAAAACAGCTTCACTTTTTATTTAGCTTTCTGACTCTGTGCTTGTGCCTTCACCACTTTCACAACAATTTTCTTTCTGCTCCTCAGTAAGGAAAGCACACTCGATCCTATTGCGAATACATTTAGCACACATGGGTCCACCGTGGGTCCTGCTGACATGTTTTTTTTGTTTGTTTTAGACACCTCACTGGGACTTGAGGTCTCACAGCACCAACTACACAAAGTTGGCCTGGGCACACACCACACACAGGTTTTGGTGCTTTCCCAACCTTCTTGGTGTAAAGAAAAACAATTCTACTAGCAGGGATTCGTGGCAGCCCAGTTTTGTGAGAGGCTGTGTTGAAGGACAGCCTCCACCAGTAGGTCATATGCTGGACCATTGTACACACCTGAAGACACCACCCTCAGCAGAGGAGAAAACTATCCATCCACCTTTGATTTTGGATGGGACACTAAACATTCTAACCAATCCGTTCTCTAAGAGTGAAGAAGTGTTCTAGGGCTAGAGTTCTATTCACAATTTCATGTTTTTAAAAATTCCTTTATATTCTTTCAACAAGAACAGCACTGATAGTTTCAAATACCATATTTGGGGTTAGTAAGCATTAGAGTCAGATCTGGAACCCCTTTTCTGCAATGACAAGACCACAGCTAAATCACAATAATATCAGTGACTTATTAATATATCAAAATTTATTTTTGGCAATGCCTTCTAGTTTTCTCTGAGAGTCTACCATCTTAAAGCTTAATCCACCTAACTAAAATCTCATATTCCAGATTTATTTCTCTCTCTTTTTAACTAACCACCTAGCCCACTCTCTAGTTAATTTTCACTTATCTACACTGGGACCATTTTTCATTAGATAAAGATTCGTTGGAGCCTACAAAGGCAAGCTATTATGGTGGGCTGACCCCAGCCCTGAAATTTGCCAGCTATATGAACATAAATCATCTTACCTTTGTGGGCCTTATTTTTCTCATGCATAAAATGGGAATAGTAATATTTGTTTTGTGGGGTTCTTGTCAGGATTAAGTGAGAAAATGCATGTAAAACACTCAGCCCAGAGCCTGTCACTTAGTAAGCATCAATAATTTATAATTACTGAATACAAAGAAGTAAATTTGAACAGTGAGCAAAATTTTAAAAGAAGATATAATTCCTGTAGTTAAAAATATTCAATGTTGTAAGAGAAAACAAAATAACAGGCAGTAAGTGAGTAACCTATTAATTATCTAAGTGGCCTTGGGCATACTCTGTCCCCTCCTCTGAGCCTCAATTTTTCCCTTTAATAAATGAGGAGATGGTTGCAGTTTGTCCCCAGCCCCATTTGGGGACATGTGGTTGGCAACCACTCAATGTGTCTCTCACATCAATGTTTCTCTCTCTTCCCCCCTCTCTCCCTCCCACTCTGTCTGAAGATAAATGCAAAAATGTCCTCAGATGAGGATAAAAAAAAAAAAAAAAAAAAAAAAGGAGGAGATATTCCATTTTCAGGAAGATGGAATAGATGTAATTTTTCCTATTTCTCTGGCTACGTACAACTACAAACCTTGGAGCATTATATGTAAAACAAATGTAAAAAGCCTTTGAAAGGTGAAGAGAAGAGAAATGGGCTCAGAACCTCAGGACACAGGAACAACGCAGTGGTGAGTTCCCTGGGTTTCTTGTTTCCTCATATATCTTAATCTTGGTGCTGAAGAGGCCAGAAACCCAAAGTGCCAACAGATGCAGACAAACAACAACAACAAAAGTCTGCCACAGAACCGGGAAATGCTAGCAAGACTGAAAATATTTATATAATAACTGGTCTACTCCAGACAAAAACAAGAAAATTCAGAATGATATCATCATCATTCATGCCAGCAAAGGCCAATTGGGGAGACTAGACTTCCACCCTCACTTAGCTATAATGAGATCCCCACTCACTTCTAACCAGGGTGCTACCAGAAAAGGCCAAATAGAGAGTCAGAACTTTCATCCACACTGGGATATCCTTCCTACTTCGTGCTGGGGTGATGCAGAGAAGGCCTAGTGAAGAGTCAGGTCTTTCACCATGACAAGCCCCCTCTGCTATGATGTCCATTTGGGGAGAGGTAAGGCATTCCTGTCTACCCCAGCCAGGGTAGTATCAGTGGATGCCCAGTGAGGAGCCAGAACTCTCACTCCTGCCCAGAAATATTGAAAAGTCCCTAGTGACTCGGGTGTCAGTGGAGCTGAGAGGAGAACCTGGACTTGGACTTCTACCAGGCAAGAATAAGGTAGCACCCTCTCCTTCTCCTGCCAACACTTTATCAACACAAGCTAGCTAAAACAGAAGGTTTAAATAAGATCCAGAGTCTCATAACATAGTACCCAAAATGTATGATTGAATTGAAAACCACATGTCATACCAAGAATGAGGAAAATCTCAACTTGAATGAAAAAAAAAAAAAAAAAACAATAAAAAGATTCTGACACTGAGAGGATAGAGATTTTAGAATTGTTGGAAAATATTTTAAAGCAGCTATCCTAAAAATGGCTCAGCAGGTAATTATAAAAATGCTTACTAAAAGTAAAAAGAAAAAAAAAACCTCTATCCTTAGCAAATAAATAGAAAATATAAAGAAAAACCCAAATGGAAATTTTAGAACTGAAAAACACAATAAACAAAATTTAAAAAGTAAAGGATGAGTTCAACAGCAGAATGGAGGAGACAGAGAAAAAAATCAATTAACTTGAAGAAAGAACAATAGAAATTACCCAATCTGAACAACAGAGAGAAAATAGACTAAAACAAACACAACAGCAACAAAAAAATTAATAGAAATTCCAAAATGGCGGCGGAGTGAACGGAAGCTACACAGACGGTCTCCCAGGACCAAACTGGAATTACAACGAAAATAAAGATAAATCGTCAGGAAAAAGCAACAGAAAAGCAGCTTGGAGGATCATATAACCAGGGACACTGACTCAATCCTGGTAGGATTGCAGAGGCGCGAGAGGGGGGCTGGGAGACCACAGACAGCAGCGGCCGTAGCTGTGAGCAGCGCCCGCGGGTCACACTCCCAAGCGGGCTCCACAGCGCAGAGCCGGGACAGAGGCTGAAACAGCCACAGCCACTCACCTTGGGCTCCAGCAGAGGGAGGGCGACTGAACTGTGTGGGGACACTCGGGATTTGTAGGGCACTCAGAGCTTTTGCTGAGTTGCGGCCACGCAGGACTGTGGTCATATTACGCCTTCACACGGCTCTGGGGAGAGGCAGAGAATCTCCCTCCCTTGGAGATTCAAGCCCACCTGGTGGCCAATGAAATGCAAATTGAGGCCCATTAACAACCAGCATCTGCCCTGGCCAGTTTGGCCCAGCAGTTAGAGCGTCGGCCTGTGGTCCTGAGAGGCCCGGGTTCGGTTCCTGCTAAGGGCATGTACCTCGGTTGCAGTTTGTCCCCAGCCCTGGTCGGTTGTGCGGGTGGCAGCCACTCGATGTGTTCCTTTCACATCGATGTTTCTCTCTCTCTCTCGGTTCCTCTCTCTCCCTCCCACACTACCTGAACAAAAAAATGAAAAAATGTCCTCGGGTGAGGATAAAAAAAAAAAAGAAAAAAAAAAAAAAACAGCATCTGCCCCACCCTTGGGAAATTCCCTTATGCTGAGCACCTGAGAAAGTTTTTCATTCAACTGAGAAGCCAAAACTCTTCAGGTGACCGCTACTGATAGCCTCCAGACAAAAAGCTGGAGGATAACTGTACCATCCCTGGGCCAGCAACTCTAACCAGGAAAGTAAGACTTCACAGTGGTATTTAACGTGGGTCCTCCCAGGCTCATCCAAACCCAAGAGAGGGAGCCACAAACAACAGAACACCAACACCCACAGGGAACATTTGGCAGGCTCCAAAGCCCACTGTGATAGCCAAAATGGTGAAACACAGAAACAAAAGCCAAATGAAAGAACAAGAGACCACTAACAAAGATGAGATAAATGAAGTGCAGTTAAGCAAGTTCACAGAACTAGAATTCAGAACCTTGATCTTGAGGAAGCTCAACAGCATGTGTAAGGACATTAGCACCATGAGTAAAGACATAAAAATGTTGAAAATCAACCAATTGGAAATTAAAAACCACCAAGAAGAAATGAAGAATGACATATCAGAAATAAAGAACACATTGGAAGGTCTAAATAGCAGAGTAAAGGAAGCCAAGGACCGGATCAGTGAATCAGAAGATAGGGTAGAAAAAATCAACCAATCAGAAAACCAAAAGGAAGAAACAATTAAAAAACAGGAAGACAGTTTAAGAGAACTGTGGGACAACTGTAAACGTAATAACATTCGCATCATAGAAGTCCTCAAGAAGAAGAAAATGAGCAAGGGTTAGAGAATATATTTGAAGAAATAGTGACAGAAAACTTCCCTAATTTGGTGAAGGAAGAAGGCATTCAAGTTCAAGAAGCACAGAGAGCCCCAAGTAAGAAGAACCCAAACAGGCCCACACCAAGACACATAGTAATCAAAATGCC